CCTGTCCATGCAGCCCACCCCTGGGGAGGGGCCTCCTCTGCTGCTCCCCTGACCCAGCCCTGCGACCCGGCGCGGCTCCCTTCCCCACTCCCCGGCCACCACCGTGCGCCCCCACCCTGCCCACCAGCCAGACACTCACATCTGGCCGCACTTTGAGGTACACCTTCTTCTCGTGAGTGTACCACAGCTGCTGGGGGGTTTTGGGCTTCTCGGGGATGTCCGACTTCTTTGCATTCTGGATAAGGTCGGGGTGATCCTCCCTGGCCAGTGTATGGGAGCGAGGGTCACTCGGGACTGGTCAGGTTGGCCCACCAAGCCACCCCACCCACGCTTCCTAGGCCCTGGGCTCCATGGGGCAGTGGCCACCTGCCTGTCCCTGCCCAAACGAGTCTGCATGTGACCCATCCATGGGGGGGGGCAGCTCCAAACTGGCTGCTCTTGGCCTGTCCTAACACACCCCATGCTCCGTGGCTGCTGCCGGCCCCAAGCCTTACCTGAACCGGGCCAGGTTTCGCTCAAACTCTTGTTTTTCCCTCTGGAAGTCCTGAATATACTTCATCTGGGGGAGGAGGGGACGGGGTCACCCAGGACCCAAGTGGGCCTTACCCAAAACTAGAGCCCCCATGCCCTACGAGCTCTGGTCCTGCGTCTGATACGCCATGCGCCGTGCACACTGCACTAGCGGCTGAGAGCCAGTCAGTCAGTGGAGCTAGGCAACCTCCCACCGCCACTCCTCTGGCTTAGGGTCCCTCTAAGGGAGACCCTCATACCATTTCCCCCACAGCCACTCGGTGGGCAGTGGCAGGGCACCCAGAACTCCCTGCCATCCGCCGCGGCTGAGGCAGGACTGTCCCCTCGTGGTGCCTGTGGCAGCCGCTCCCACTTCTCAGGGACCAGGGCTGCATGTTGAGAACCCCGAGGGGCTCTCTGCAGTGCACCACATACCCAGCAGATTTGTTTCCGCATGTGTGGTCCTCCCTGTCCACTACCTCTGGTTCTCTGCAACACTGTGCACCCCACACCCCTTCCCAGTCATCCTGCTGCTCCTCTACCTCCTGCCCTTTCTCCCAAGTCCGAAGTGTAGCCCTGGGGGCCCAGCCTGGCTCCTCCAACCACCCAGCCCTCCTCAGATCCAAGCAGTTTCACAGCCAGGTGGCTCCGACAGACCCAGCTCCGCCTGCTGAGTGACGCTCCGAGGGCCCGCGGTGTCCGGCCACCGGGTGAGAGCAGTGCTCGGCCGCCCGGGCATGCGGTTCTGCCCTGCCCTGGTTTTCAGACCCTCTGCCGCTCTGCCCTCCCTCCCATCCGGCCCTGTGAGTGTGCAGCGCTGTGTGCGGTCAGCGCCCGCGTGTACATGCAGCCCCAGCAGTTGGACAGTGGCTGTGGTCAGCTGGTTTTACCCAACCAAGCAGGATTCACTTGGGGTTCAGCACCGAGATCATGAGTCTGGACCCACAGTATGTGACCATGAAAAGGCACGCAGGGTTGCGGCTCGCACCACCACTCCGAGCACTGGCCACATGCAGCTGTGTCTTCTCCCTACCAGTGACCAGTGTGCCTGTATCTCTCCCCCCGGGCATCACCAACTGCCCCTCCAGGCTCTGCCTCCACCTCACCACCCGGCCTCCTCCGTGCCCCTGCAGTCCTGTCCCCAGAGCCCCGCCCCCAGGTTTTGTGCCAGTCTCTGCAGGCAGCCTCTGGTGGGCTGGGGCAGCACCGAGATGGGGCCAGGAGGCTCACGCAGGGCAGAAAGCCCGAGGACATGTGGACGAGCACTAGGCAGCAGGTCCAGGCGCCAGGGCCAAGTCCTGCTCTAGCATTTGTAGTTGTGTGACTGGAGCCCCAGCCCTCTTGTGCCCAGTTCCTTGCCTTTTCCAAGGGTTACCCGTGTGAGGATCTTACAAGCCACGACACCAGGAGGGCAGGTGTGGAGGGACAGAGTGAGGCGCAGCACGAGGAGGGTGTGTGCAGGAGGAGGTGGGCGGTGCAGCGCCCATGTGCCCGTGTCTGGCCGAGGAGCATTGACCTGGTGTGCTGCCCAGGGCCCCTCCAGCCGCCCTCCGACCCCGGCCATGGCAACCGCTCCCGCTGTGCCTCCCCACCCCTCCCCACCTTCTTCTTCTCCGGAAGCTCCTTGTATTTCTTGGACAGGATCTTGGTCAGGTCCAGGTTGCTCATCTCGGGGTGGAGCTTCGCATACTTGGCCCGCTTCTCCATGAAGAAGCGGAAGTAAGGGGTGAGAGGCTTCTTTGGGAAGTCAGGGTGTTTCTGAAAGGGGACAGGGCGGTCAGGTGCCACCCTCTGTGCTCTGTGGCCCGCCTGCCCCCTGCACTGCACATCCTCTGAGACTCACCTTGAGCTTTTTGCCTTTGTAAGGGTTTTTAACGTGTTCCTGAGCATCAAGGATCAGTTCTGTCAACGTTCGGAACTTCCTCACCTGTAGGAGAAAGGGGACGCTGGGAAAAGCAGCCAGAGTGCAGCCCCTTCCCACTGGTCCCCAACTCCCCAGCTGGCAGAATGTGTTCACGAGGAGCCCAGGCCTGGGCCTCACCTGCTGTGGGCACCCAGCACAGCAGCAGAGCCACCTGACCCACGTGCCGCCAGACCTGCTCCTCACCACCCACCACAGCTCAGGCGACAGAAGCCCCGAGACGGTGGAGACGATGAAGAGGAAGAGCAAGGGACAGACTCGGAGAATGGAAGGGGGCGCTCCTGCCTTGCTGTTCAGACCTGTACCCCGCCGCATGCAGCCTCGCATCCGTTACCTCGTTGGAAATCTCCACCCACTTGAGCTTGCACATGTCACCGGAGAAGTCTTTAAATGCGACTTTTTCCCAGTCCATGTGGGACTCCGTGGTCTTGAACTTGGAACTGTCGTTGGACGGGAGATTGTTCTTCATGCACTCCAGCAGGGTCAGCATGTCTTCCTGCGACCAGCGGTCTGGCAGGGCATCCAAGGGCCTGTCACACGCGGCTCACCCCAGTGAGGCAGGCCCTCAGCCCTCTCTCCCCAGGGTCCCTCTCATCTGAGCCGGGGATCCTTCTGGGCCCAGGCACAGTCAGCGCTGAGAAAACCATGGCCACACAGGGTGAGAGCAGGGACTCTCGTCTAGAACTCGGGTAGGCTTCCTTCAACCCCGACCCAGGGGAGGGGTGGGGAAAGCAGGGGATTCAAGGCCCTAAGGGGAGGTAGCCAGGGAGAATCCAGGCACTCTGGGCCAGGGCTGAGGCCGGGTGTGCTGTGCACACAGGCAGCCCCTCCACACACCTCTCTGGCTAGGCCGGAGAGCAGTCTGGCTCCAGGAAGCACCCCAGAGTGCTCGCTCACTGTGACCAGCCCTCTCCAGCCACCGAGATGCAGCCCAGAGCACGGGGGCCCTCTGTGGAGCAGTGGCCCTGAGCGAGCAGGGATGAGGGCAGCCACAAGGGCCAGCAGTCAGAGGGCTCCTAGCTTTCCCTGCAGTGGTAACCAGGGCAGGGCTGCCTCACTGTGGCTAGGTGGACCCGGAATCTCAACCCACCTCCCATAGGCATGGCCTCAGGCTCACTTCTCTCTGCCACCCCAGACGCCAAGAGTGCCCCACGAGGTGAGGGGGCCTGGTTGAGCACCCCACCCCACCCCACCCCAAAGTTGGGGTCCTCTCCGCACCTGCAGGGCCAAGCCCTTACCTCTAACCAACACAGCTGGCCCAGAAGCCTCATCCCAGGCCAGACCTTCCTGGGGACCCACTTCGGGGCTGGGGCCTGGAAGGCGAGCTTGCCCCACATGGAGTGGACACGCTCCGGCCGACGTGGACCGGCCCGACGCAGGTGTGCCGGTTGCTCACTGCTCACTGACCCTGAACCCCTACCTTGGCCTTTGGGGACGGCCATTTCCAGGTCTGTGGGGCAGTCGGCTTCTCCGTTCATCGTCCGGCTGTCCAGCCACCTCCTCGGTCCCACTGGCCGGGCAACCCGGGGTCAAAGCCACCTTAAGAAAAGACGCGGGTCCCACTGAGGTGGGGGCAGATAACAGGAACTTTCTACCCAACCCCCTCCCGCAGGGGAGGGGGCGCGGGGCTCCAGCCCGGCCAGATCCAGGAGGACCTGA